CCTTGATAGTTCCATGCTTCTGTGTTGGTTCATTCAGGACATCCTTCAAATGATGTGGACCACTCACCTTTTGCTGCACGTTGATTCCATTCACTTAGTGTGATGTCCCTCCTACACTTAGTGCCTCTTCAAGTCAGTCGATGTTATCAAACGCCAATGTTACTTGGACATTTGGTTGTATGCATCCTGGTAGTGTAACACTTTCTTCGCTCAGTGACAATTTATGAAGACAGAGTGCTGTGTCAATCTCTTCAATTTGGGAGTATGAAACGACATGTCCAATTCGGTTCAGAATGCGAATTAGTTCCACACACCCAGTGACTAATTTCGCAACATATGGCAGCAGGATTTGTTTTTGGAGTTTCACCTTGACACACATTTGCCATCACAATGTCCTACCCTATAGAGTCTGTGAATATGGTCTGATACAAGAATTGATGTGTTAGTGTCTCAAGTTAAAAGCATTTTCAAGAAGAGGTTTAATGATGCAGGAATGTAGGCAGATGCATTTTTCATTTCTGTTGATACTGTTGGCCAAGACATTGTAACATCTTATCCCTTGACTTCATTTCTAAGCATAACAAATACATTCATCTTCATTTTATCAAAATGAGAAGTGTCTTGCTTGGCAGCTAGGAGCTGTTCCTTCAACTTCTGGTTTTCTTTGACTAGCTCAGTCAATGTTTGTCAGGATAATCCGAAGGTTTGCTTTTCTCATCAGGTATCATATGGATACTCTTCAATTTGAGTATATGTTTGGTCAAGGTCGCACGAAACAGAGTCTGTGGAAGCTGCCGCAGCACTAGATTTGGCTTGTGGCGTCTTTCCAAGCTTAGTGTATAGCCAGAGTCCATAAAATAAAATGCCTCACTGTAAGTTTTGGTGGGATTGTAGGTCCAAGATGTTATGTTGTGAATTATTCATGGTTCCGTGTGTTTTTGATGATTATATATAAAAAACCCCGATAGAAATGTAGTCTCACATTCAGGAATAAGAAAACTTAAGTGCTTCTTGGTTTGATATTTCATTTTTCTTTCAGACATGTCATGTTTGTGTGTCTGCAATCAGACAATTTAGAAAAACATGGCCAAACTGCACCAAAACATTTCTCTTACCTATTAAGCTAAAAGTTAAATCTTGTAATATTCAGAATGTACACCTGAATAGAACTTTCAAATGTTTATATTAATCTGACGATTAATATGTACAGTTATGAACAGGAAAGCATACATACGATAAAATATATGATACTATGCATGGTTCTACACTTTATTAGCACAGATTAAAAAATGTGAATTTTATCCATGTTTCATGTACAAATAGACAATGAAATTATTATTCATTCCAATTTGTATTATTTTATATTATCTCATTTCTCTTTATTTGCAAAACTATAATTTATGGAGTTTTGACATTTAAAATAAATTAAATTGTATGAATATAGTGTTTATGTTGTAATTGTTGAAATTAGTACATAATTTGTTACAATAACCAGAATTTGATAATATGACATTTTCAGATCGATGTCTCTATAACTCCACCGGGTGTTTATGGTTTAATCCACAAAGGAGTGAAGCTGTCATTATGGCTACTTTCAAGCTGCACAACACCTGCATTGACAACAAGACGAACAACATCCCCAGAGGAAACTGACACAGAAGTTGATCATGTTGATGTGGAAAACTATCCTTAAGCTAGGCAGTGTCAGGAGGAAGCAGATTACTGAAGGATTTACATAGGTTGTAAGAAAGCAGCACAATAGGCAACAATTGAATACATGTTTTTGTCTATTTTGATAACAGCTTAACAGCTGGGCAGTTCATGAAAAAATATATAGAAAATAACAAAAACCAAGGTTGTATTTGATAAAGATTTAACTGTCTCAATACATTATGCGTATTAGTCTTACTTAACATTTTACCTTTAAGACACCAGTCAGCTTGGGCGTTGGCACGGCTAGGAAGATAACATAGATTTGATAACTCGGGACATAAGGAGATCTATTTTCTTGATTCATTAACAGATGTTGCAACAGTTCAAATTTGAATTTCTCCCGATCAAGCCTTTATCTCTCAACAGCCAAGTGTTCATCTGATATGCTGAGCATCCTCTTATGAGGGCATCTGCTTTAGTCTCCACATCAATTATTGAGGCAATGTGTTTTGGTAGCTGCCATGAGTTTTCTGTAAAAAATGTTAGAAAATTCAAGTTATCATATTTGTTACATTATCATGATCAGTACGTGTGGGTTATTTGAAACTAAGTAGTAATCAGTGATGGATATAATACATTTCATGATCATTTAGATGAAAGAGTACTGTACTGGAAAATAGAAGTTAAAGCCCAATATATGACTCTTATAAAACATTGTTTTTACTAAACTTTGTGAGAATTATCATTCCATTATGGTATGAATAGTCTTTGAAAGGCATTTAGAAGTGATACACATAAGGAAGAGAATTTATGCATGTCAACTTCTTTATTATGAGGAGTGAGTGAGTTTTACGCCGTTTTAAGCAATATTCCAACAATATCACTGCGGGGGACACAAGAAATGGGCTTCACACATTGTACCCATGTCGGGAATCGCACCCGGGTCTTCGGCGTGACGAGCAAACGCTTTAACCACCAAGCTACCCGACCGCCCCTTATAATGAGGAACGTTTCGGAGTATGTGCTTGCGCCTTCATCAGGTGAATGTAAATTATTCAGGCAATGTGTTTTGGTGATGAAGGAGTAAGCATATACTCCGAAATGTTGTGTTCCTCATAATACAAGTTTACATCCATAACTTCTCTTCCTTATGATATAAATATCAAACAATAATGCTGGAAATATTAAAAAACAGTGTGTACAAAATATATAATAATGTCATACCAAATATTCTTTGTCTGGATCTGTTCATCCTGATATCCTTAGCTGTAACAATCAAGAGATTTAGATGTTTATGTTAAAAGCGGCAATTTATCATTGCCAAAATAAAGATTTAATCATCAATGTATCATAAGCTAGATAGCCTATACATAGTCATCAGATGATTTGCCATTAAGTATGATTTTATATTAATGTTGATTTTTCAAAAACAGGTTACTATTTAAACTTTTACCATTTGTGACTGAATGCTACTCTCATTTCTGCTGTTTTCGCAGGTTGATCCTCATCATTTCTTATCTTCCCGGCCCGTGAAGATCTGAGGTAGAATAGGTCTTCAGCAACCCATGCTTGCTGTAAAAGGCGACTATGCTTGTCGTAAGAAGCGACTAATGTGATCGGGTAGTCAGGCTCGCTGACTTGGTTGATGCATGTCATCGATCCAAATTGCGTGGATCGATGCTCATGATATTAATCACTGGATTGTCGGTCCAGACTCGATTATTTACAGACCGCCGTCATACAGCTGGAATATTGCTGAGTGCGGAGTTAAACAATAAACTAACCAACCAACCAATCTTATGTTCCCAGACATTAAAATAGGACCTGCAAGTTTGATGAAATTAGGTTGCATAAATACACATGGTAATTTAATATATTTGAGAATGTTGAACTGTTATTGATTGGCGTCATGACTAAATGCACTGGGAATGATATTTAAAAAAAGTAATAAATACGTATTCATGGTGTGTAATGGGTCTGTCTCTCTTCACTTTTGATGATTAAATCAAAGAAGAGGAGAGGGAGAGGACATTTTCACTATTAAGTTTCCTATTCAGATAGTCTTGAAATAAAATCCTTTAAAGGAAATTAAATTTATATAACACACAGTAAACTACGTTTAAAACGAACATGCTTATAACGACCTGACGGATATAACTTGTTTTTTGGTCCCGACTATTTACTGTTTATACTTGTATATATGTTTATAACGAAATACGTTTATATGGAACTAACTTCAGCGGTCCCTTTAAGTTCGTTATAACCGTAGTTTACTGTACTTTGAATTACAGATCAATCAAAGGTGCTGGTGTTGGGCCGCCACCTATTTTGGACGATTCTTTGCGGACACTAGATTCTTAACTGACAAATTACTACCAATTTATTCAATTGTTTATGCATTTTGTGAAAAAATATAGTCGTTAGGTATAAAAAAATAATATGTTTGGTACCAAACTCTGAACAGAAACTATAATGGTACCTTCAGTGACGATTCGAGATACCCAAACATTCGACATACCCTTACATTCGACGAAGCGAGGCATGGACAGCCAGCCAGATCACGTTCACAGTATTATACAACCATATCGATACTATTGCATACACGGGAAGCTGCAACACAAGACGAATGCGATGACAAATTGAATGTTTTTCGCAGGCAATAATTAATAACAGCTGTGACAAAATTTGTACAGTGCGCCTGTATTACGTGTAGGATTAACAGAACAAGGTGTTTTGTTTGTTTGTTGTTTTACGCCTCATGCGGCAGTACTCCAGCTGTATGACAAGTCTGTAAATAATCGAGCCTGGACCAGACAATCCAGTAATAGACATCATGAGCATCGATCTACGCATTTGGGATACGATGACATGCCTCGAGATAGCGCTATATATGTGAATCTTGAAGTCGACGTATGCGGTCAGATTTATATGTATTTGACTAGGGAGGCGGTCGGGACCGGTGAAAAGGTTGGAGATATCAGTACGTTCGAGATAACGGATCTCGAGATAACGAAGTCTGACTGTATCTCCAGTTTGGCTTTTCAGCGAAAGTAGCTGGTACCACTACTCACAGCCACTCACAGCTGACAGAATGGTATGTCTATAAATGGAACTGGTCTCGCCTGCATAGGTTCTCCGCTTGTTGCAAACAAAGAAAACACAACAACGCATGAAGTCAATCTGCACACTAACGCCTGGCTTAGTATTGATATTTTTCATACTGTTCCCATCTAATGAAAATAGGTTAATTAAAATGTATGTCCAAACATTGCATACGATTGGTGGAATAAATATTTTCACCACATACCTCCCATTCATGTTATATGCACACCTTTCCTCTACTCTTTTCAAAGCGTATCACTGATGAACATGTTTACATCAACTGTCTTCGTAATTAATTACAGTCTAATTGCTTATGTTTACAGCACAAGTCGGATGTGCTATGTTATGAGATTGCCCGGGTTTGAAGACAAGCGAGTGACTGACCATGTGATGTGGACGGAACAGAACATGACCAGCCGGTTGAAGTGTGCTGCCAGATGTAACCAGCATGACCTGGCCGAGATGTGTGGCTACAACCAAAACACAGGAGTCTGTGTAGCCTACAATGCCACGTTCACAGACCCGTCAAGCGTCATCTATTATGACGACAGTGGATACAGAATGTACTCTCTCTGCCCAGGTAACAAATAATTTCTTTTCTTGTTTTGATTATCTTTTCTGATCAGTAGGTCACCACAGATTGGCTTCACACATTGTACCCATGTCTAAAATCGAACCCGATTTTGGCATGACAGGCGAACGGTTTATCCACGAGGCTTTCCAAAGAACACTTACAAATATGTTCTCGGTATATCATTTTTTTAATGAATTTAGTTATGTAATAAATCACACTGTCTTGTCATAAGCTTTAAAATGATATGTCACAAGCGGAACACATTTCAATAAACATATTGCATATTTTTGAAAGTGTGTATTAATAACTAATTTATTTAGAGTCAAATTAATATATTTCCCCTCGATGGATGCACCAAGGCTTTTAGTATAGTGTTCACTGATGTTGTCAGAGTACAAAACAGCTGGAGTTATTTCTGTTGCAATTTGTTTAAGGTCAAACTCTATTCGGTTAAGGTTTTCTTGCCATGCACAATGTAAGTTTGATTTCGCTTCAATATGAACATAATTATGAAACTAATTTTGTGCGATGGAATATGTATACTTTGGGGAATATGTTTTAAAGTGTCTTATCTGTCTGTACCGTCAACTTACTGCCATCAGTCCCCTGCAGTTCTACAATAATCCGTGCCAAGCCTGTCCCCTCAATAATCCACATGGTTACTGTTAACGGATGAGCAAAGGGAAGGTCCCCCTTGTCCGGTTATATAATGCCTAGCATGTTGAGAATGAGTAGCCTTGCTGTGGCTTCAAACATTTATGAACTATTTAGCAAGCTGTGATATATAAATACTAGTATACACTATAATTCCGTTTTGTGTCATCTGTATATATCAGTTTAAACTCACTTATTGTGGGAATTTTATATGTAATATATCTATATAAGTCATTAAGGGATCTAGCATGAACATAATAAAATACTAAGCAAGTCTACGCTCATAATCCCCCCTATTCCACCATGCGGTTGATCCTACATTAAATGTTCCTCATGGAAACTGTAAATCAAGAAATTAGTCACCAAACTGGACTAAAATGTGTCATGAAATTTATGCGAGTCTTTGAATTGTAAAGACTAACCAAAAGCTACGGCAAGACTGTAGACTTTTAATTCCATGGTGGAAGTATTGAATGATGGAAGTTCGATTGAAAACTATCGTTTGCTATCTTCACAAACCTAAGTTCAAATGTTGATCTAACATGTCATATTGCATTGGCAATTCGTAAATCTAGTTTGGCTTCTTATACCTAACTTTTGGTTCATTGCCATTGGATACCTTTAGTTCAGTGAAAACGACACTAACGCTGCCCAGTATTTTTAAATATACAAAATCATGAAAAGCCTCCAGTTCTCCACAAGAATGATCTGTATAGCAAGTTTCATCTAGAACTACTAGTATTCAACTATTTAACGGTTTTGGAGTTCTAAAATGTACAGTCCCTGTGCTTAGAAGTAAGCTTTCGGTTGTTTTTGAAATGCGTCTTAGAATTGTGTGACGTCTGAAAAGACTAGCTAGTGCCATATGGTAACAATCAATGACCAGTTGTCCATCACCGACTAGCCTAAAATAGAAGAATGCCAGCCTGCTCACATTTGGGCATCTCCCCGGGGCAAGGGCGTGAACTGACTATAAAAGTCCAGTTTCCACCCTTGCCGAACTAGGCTTGAATTTCCGGGCACGATCGTAGGGGCACCAGTGGCTATTACGAGTTATATCCCTTCTATGTCCCTCCAATTGACCAATAAGATTCCATCTCTCATATCACTTGCATTTGCTTTAAACAAAATGGCGGCGCCCAGTCAAGACGATCTGATCGATATTCAAGATCACTATTGTAATAGAAGCAAATGCAAACTGGACTTTTATAGTCAGTTATCGCCCTCGCCTTTCGAAGATGAGCGGGAGCAGGATTGAGCAGGATATGTTTATCCTTTCCGCAATTATGCTCTGTGTCAGCGGCCACGTCTGAGCAGGGTTCTACATTGTTTTCATTGTTGCTAGATTCCTGTCATTTCCGAAAACAAGGCATCAAAGTCAATGTCGCTCAATAAATCAATTTCGTTCACCTCAGTAATTTTACAAGATATTTTTTCTTCACTTGCGTTATTAGTATTGAAAGATAGCCATTCCATATCCAAATCACCGTAAGGACAATCCATTTTGTTTCATGTGGCAGCTAGACGACATCAAACACCAGAACCACAGCATTTATTTATTTACAAGTCAGATGAAATGTTACAAGACCAGGCAAAAATACTAAATTAATTATATTGCTGATAAATGCAGGGAGTAAAAGGAAATAGAAAGACGCGTTGATCAAAAACACCGATCGAGAATTCGCGGAAACACCGGAAAGTAGTTCCGGCAAAAGTTCACACGGTCAATTTAACAAAACATTGTTCACATCGTGTGAACTATTTTTGTCCCTTCACAGGTGTGTGAACTCCAAATATCAGATCACGTGACTACCTAGCCAATCAGCATGAAAGAAACAGTGTAAACTTCAAAGTATGAAATCACTTCTTTTTTTTACCCAATCCTTTGCATCAATATTTGCATTTAATACCGTTCAAATACAGGCTATAGACACCAGTAGTTAGAGCTAGACCACGTAATTGAGGATTCCGGGGACAGCACCTCTGCAACACGTGTACCTGCATGATTTCTCAGGAGGATTTACCTCATTACCCTTGATACTGGTGTTGTAGACAACAATAAACATATACTGAACCGCAAAAGAAACGTCACCCCAAGCAACATTGCATGAAAGGTTGTTGTTTAAATATTTGGATAATTTTTGTCGAAGTTTCTAAAATTTTACATTACCTTTTCCGGAAAAATGAAATTTGATGATAAAAAAACAAAGCAGATGGCAATAAAACCGATCGCCCAAACGCATCACGGCAACGGCCATGGTAACCCGATGCACGTGAGTTCCGTGCAAATTGAAATGCACATGCGTTCCCCGATTTCTTGCCCTATAAAAATCCACTCAGGTCGGATAACATTCATTCGTTATTGAATTGCCACCACATGCCAAGATTGACAAGAAATCAGCGACACGAAGCCCTTGGACGATTGCAAGCTGGACAAACCGCCCGAGAAGTAGCCAATGCATTTCAAGTCCACGTAAGGACCATATACAGGCTCCAGCAATGGTACCAGACCAACAACACTACAGATGGAAGACCAAGGATCACCACCCGACGTCAGGATCGTCAGACTGTGCGACAGCATCCTCAAGATCGTTTTGTCACTGCTGCGGAAACTGTTCGACAGACCATGCTTGTGTTGCTGAGGGAGACTCGTGGGAAGGTCCGAGCATCATGGTGTGGGGTGGAATTGGTCTTGCGCAAAGGGACGGCCCTGTGGTCTTTCAAAACATCGGTCCAAGGAGAGGCAATGGTCTCACAGCAGCTCGGTACATTGATCAAGTCTTGAGACCACACGCCATACCTCATATGGCACGTCGCCGCAACAACGGGTTTTAGCATGATAACGCCCGTGCCCACAATGCGAGAGCGACAAGAGACTTCTTCCAGCAGAATGGCATCAGAACCATGCAGTGGCCTGCCCTCAGTCCCGATTTAAATCCCATTGAGCACCTGTGGCACGAGATTCAAAGATGTTGGTTAATTGGTCTGTTGTTTAACGCCGCACTCAGCAATATTCCAGCCATATGACGGCGGTCTGTAAATAATCGAGCCTGGACCAGACAATCCAGTGATTGGGATTGGGAATTTGGATCGATGACATGCATCAACCAAGTAAGCAAGCCTGACCACCCGATCCCGTTAGTCGCCTTTTACGACAAGCATAGTCACCTTTTACGACAAGCATAGTCACCTTTTACGGCAAGCATGGGTTGCTGAAGAACTATCCCCCCCCCCCCCCCCCCCCCAACACGAATCTTCACGGGCCGATTCAAAGACGGCTGAATGACGTCCGACCAAGGCCGACAACTGCAGCTGAACTGCAGGCGTCCCTCAGAGTGTGGGCTTAAGTGCCTGTGGCCTTCATCAACCGCCTCATCCATTCCATGTATCGACGTTGCACGGCAGTCATCAATGCACATGGCGGACACACGAGATACTGACTTATGATGCCAGACTAGGGTTTTGTTTCACATTAAGATCATTTGACACTTTAATTTCAACCTTGATGTTCACAGTGTTTGGGCAAATAAGGTTTCTCATATATCTATCCATGGCGACGTTTCTTTTGCGGTTCAGTATATATTAAAATGTTAAGATATACAATGCATTCCAGGCGGTCCAGCGTTGGGTACTTGCAAGACATCTGCTGACTGCCTGGTGGCCAACACCTTCTGTATGGAGGGAGAGTGTGTCTGTGACATGATGTTCGTCTTCTCTCATGCTCAAGGTGGATGCATTCAAAGTATGTACTTACCTTTTTTTATATACAAATAAACAACGAATTGAAGTCATTGTAGTTACGCCCCATTATACCAGCATTGCGCAAACGAATTTCCTTTTTCTTTAAGCGTTCTTTTTTTAACGGGTCCACTCAGTATGTAAACCAATCTTCAGTAACAAAAACAACAAACTAGACCAATGAGTGAGTGAGTGAGTGAGTGAGTGAGTGAGTGGGCTGGTGGGTGGGTGGGTGAGTGAGTGAGTGAGTGAGTGGTTGGGTGGGTGGGTGAGTGAGTGAGTGAGTGAGTGAGTGAGTGGGTGGGTTGGTTTTGAGTGGGTGAGTGAGTGGGTGAGTGAGTGAGTGAGTGAAAATAGGTTTCATTTCAATTTCATTTCGGAAGCGTGTGGCCAATATTTGAACACGAGCAATTCTTTGATTTTCAAAGGACATGTAGAATAAGATTATAGAATCATGTGTTAAAATAATGATTATTTTTGCTTATAGTTAGATTGTATCTTGAATTTGAAATTTGTCTTTTTGCACTCATTTTAGCCATTATGATACTTGAACATACCAATCGTTCAAAGATTCTCGTAGCTTTAACATTTCAATTGGCAAATATGAACCTGTATCCAACTTCGTCCTTTAGGCTCTGCAGTGTTTGCCAGGACTTTGCATATAAATCTCATCCTCATGTCTCTTCATTTCAAATATACTTACAGGTATTAATAGAAGCTCATTGATGTTCGTAATCATGTGTTTCTTTTGTGTAAGATATAACGTAACATTGTTATAAACATGCATAATATTCAGACCTTCACAGAAACAAATTTTCATAGACAAGATGATACGGTATTTTGATAGTTGGTTGGTTTGTTGTTTAGCGCCGCACTCAGCAATACTCCAGCTATATGACAGAGCCGAATCAAATGATTTTCTGTCTAGGATAAAAGCCTCAGAGTGTTGAATCTTTTATGACCTATTCTAATGCTTATGTCAGTATACAAATATTAAATACTGAAGTATTGTTCCTAAACTTTCAATCGTCCATTATGGTGCTAGATGTATGATTGTGAGTTCTAACTTACACAGCGGCTTAGTTTCGGTGAAATATGTGCGTGTCACAAAGGTACCTAGTGACCGCTGTCACAGTGAGTGAGTGAATGAGTTGGGTTTAACGCCGCTTTTAACAGTATTCCAGTTATATCACGGCAACTCTGCATAGCGAATCGTGGCGCCTCCGCTGTCACAACTAGAACAGGGTCAGTTGTGTTACATCAAAGGTTATGATGGTCAGGCAAATTGTACAGTTTCTTACACGAGTAGCTATATTCGTTAACGAATAACGATACTTTTCCTTCCAGACTGCTCTCACTACGGTACAACGTTCACCAGGTATGTGGGGTATATCTTACGTGAGCATAACGATATTAAGGTGGAATCCATCCCGGAGAAAGACTGCCAAGCGGCTTGCATCAGTGAGACAAGCATACTGTGTAAGACCGTTGACTACAATCCAACATCAAACAATTGCTTCCTGAGTTCAACAGGATGGAGTGACGCCCCGGCCACATCAAGGGCTGCTGACGCGAAATATAACATGCACATCCGACATTGTGATGTTTGAATACATTTAAAATGGAAATCAGGACGTAAGTGGTTATTGTCAAACAATGAATATAAAAGCCGCCGTTATTATATGTCGGTTGGGCGTGTTACATTTCAAGCTTCAAACATCTTCGTCCATAAACTGTTGCTTTGTGTTGTTGTAATATGGTATAACTTATTTTGTGATGTACAAAATAAAATGTCAACGCAAGGGAATAAGCAGTCTCGATTATTAAACGAAAGAGATTCCATTTGGCGTAAAAGGAAAGATGGTAAAAATAATCGTTAAGTGAATGGATAACAGAACATCCGTGATGACACCACATGTTCGCAAAAAGGGTAAGAATGTACGGTGGCCCATAAGGGACATGGAGTCTGTTTTTCAATATTTTGATGTTTCACTTACTTTTATAGTAACCTTTTGCAAATTAACAAAATTTGTCATACAAATATGTGATAAGTCATGTATAAAAACAACCGAAAACATGGAAAATGTACTTTCAAGTAGCTATTGAGACGCTAAAATGTGAAGCGAAAATGTCAAAAACTAAAATGGAAATGTCAAAAACTAAAATGAAAATGTCAAAAATAAAAGCGAAAATGTCAAAAACTAAAACGAAAATGTCAAAAAAAAAAGCGAAAATGTCAAAAACTAAAATGGAAATGTCAAAAACCAAAACGAAAATGTCAAAAACAAAAGCGAAAATGTCAAAAACTAAAATGAAAATGTCAAAAACAAAAGCGGAATATTATCACCGCGGTGGAAATAGTTTTCTGTATTTTCATTTTAATTTTTGACATTTTCGCTTTTGTTTTTGACATTTTCATTTTAGTTTTTGACATTTTCATTTTTGTTTTTTGACATTTTCATTATAGTTTTTGACATTTTCGATGTTTTTTTTGACATTTTCATTTTAGTTTTTGACATTTTCGTTTCACTTTTCAGCGATTCAATATCTTCTTTACACATGATTTATCACATATTTGTACGACAAATCGTGTTAATTTGCAAAAGGTAACGACAAAAGTAAGTGAAATATCAAAATATGGAAAAACAGACTCCATGTCCCTTATGGGCCACCGTAAGAATGGCCTGCTCTACCTGTAGCGCCCGCCACTAACACAATTTTGAAAAAAAAGTAAATGAAACATTTGTGTCACCGATCACTAGTTTACCGATGCCATCATCGTATTGTCAATAAAATATCTGATCTGTGTGCTTTCTTCAGTTAGTGATTATTCAGTATAGGTTAGATCACGACGAACAAGTGTCTAACTAACAATTTAACCGATTAGACACCATGGTGTGATCTAACCTACTTAAAGCATGACCAACATGCAAAGAGCTCTAGCACCTAAAATGTTTAAACAACATTGTTTTAATAAATATGTTTATAAATATATTAACACTGTGTGAGTCGGCCCCGTGTGATGCACGTGAAATATGTTTCCTGTTGATGTCTCATATAAAAAATAAACGACGAGTGGGAGTTGTTTATCGAACATTTTACCATGAATGTGGAAATTACTCTATTCTGATTGGTAAATCAGAGGTTGTCAAATCACAAAAACCTCTTCTGATTGAAACAGACGAATGTGGTGCGATTATTTACAGATCTGCGTCACATAGCTGGAATATTGCTCATAAACACACAAACAAACAAACACAACATAAAACGTACTGCATAAAGCACACATTTCACCTTTCATAATCGGATAAACTACTAGTTCTGATGTTAATTGCGTCCATGTCGCCGTGACAGAAGACCACATCGTTAGCCTTCGGTGCGGACTTTGTGGTTTTGAATCAAATTTTTCTATCATTATGGTTGGGTTCAATAACTGAAAACGAGTTCCGTCCGCGGTGTAGCTAATATCTGCGTTGATTTGACCAAAGTTAGAAACAAAAAAGCTATGGTTTAAGAAGTTGTATTGGATGCGCGGATAAAGACGATGCTTATGATTACATTATAAAAAAACCCTGTTACTATACAATGTTGTCCCTGAACATGTACTTACTCTTTTGTAATGAACATGGGATAAGCAAGAGTAATTCTATATTGTAATGTTATTGTATTATATTTGCTACAGTGTTGTGCTGGTTCACAGACAGCTCCTTGAATGTGTCTTTAGCAATGCCTGTCGTAAGAGGCGAATGCCGGTTTCGGGTGGTTTGTCTCAGTGACTTGTCATTGTATCCTAATTTCTTTGGTCGAAGCTCATGATACCAATCACTCGATATCTGGTCCTGACTCGTTTCTTTACAGACCTCCGTCATATAGCTGGAATATTGTTGGGTCCCAACACAAACAAGTAAGGATAATATATATGGATCAAAAACTGCTTTATCACACTTAGGAGACGTTTCGGTGTATGTTCTAATAGTGAGTGAGTATGGTCTTACGCCGCTTTAACAATATTCCAGCAATATCACGGTAGGGACACCAGAAATGGGCTTCACACATTGTACCCATGTGGATAATCGAACCCGGGTCCTGTGTGACGAGCGAACGCTTTAACCACAAGGCTATCCCACCGCCCCTTTACGTTCTAATAACGTTATCAAACAAGTGGTGACGGTTTTAGAACGGTACCTACACCGAAACGTCTCACCCAATTGTAATCAAGAAGTTGTTCATCAATATATGCTGTCCTTATTTAGTACTCCAACTACAAAATGCATCTTAAACAAGTTAAACAAACAAACGAAAATAACTCAGCGGTCCCATTTGGGACCATCAAATCATCATTACAACTACTGAAGAAAACAATCAACGACATAATACGGATTCGTAATTAGTACTGTGATATTGATGACTCATAGATTCGTTAGTGTCTGAAAATCGATTTTCATTGCTAATTCCATTCCTGGTTCATAGTTGCTGAAGAAATAAGGCAGAATAGCTCAGGTGATGTGATTGTATTCGGGAATAATTCCATATAGATGCTAACTCGGATGGTTGGTAGCTATGTGACGAGACGAACGACGTTCCCCATTGAAAATGATCCACATTTTCGCTTGTAGTATAGAGGAAACCACATCTCCCAATGTGAACAGCGTCTGTATACGATGCAGATATGGCTGTAATAAAGATATCTTCTATACGTAACAAGGGAATCCGGGGTATGACGGCCAAGAGGTCAAGGACAAGGTCACCGGATATTACGTAGGAAGGACCAAACATGTAATTTGGGATGACATCACCGGAGTAGTAATCTTTTGGAAAATAGTTCTTTATTGTTTTCATCCTTTGTGGTTTTTGTCCTCTTCCGACATATCCCATGATAAATTTAGATTGGTAACTATGCATTAATAATCTATAATACAGGTTTGGCAGATTTAACACGACGTCATCATCAATTTTTAGGATAAACTTCACGCTTGGTACAAAGGAATGGGTCCACTTCAAAATACCTATACTCTTATGAACAAGATTTAGATATGTATCATCCGTATTGATTTGTGTAACATCAGCATACTTGTGTATTTCATTTTGGAATTGTATCCAGTGTGCAAAATTGCTTTGTTGTTTCCCAACAAAGAATACGAGGCATACATATCCTGGTGCATTGTCTTGTATGGCGGAGCCCCAAGTCTGCCGGATGATGTTGCGCGTCCTGAAATGCTCGTAGGTGGAGACTACAGCTACTAGTAGCCATATCTTCTTGTCCCCATTAGGAAATGCTTTGCACGTGTCACTGTTTACTGGAAACAGAATATCTTCAACGATGGAGGTGGGCTGATTAGCAGAAACATCTCCCATGATATTTTTCTGTAGTTCTTCAGTTGCACAACAGGTTGGAGAGCCAACGCGACACATAGCTTCACTGACATAGAAGAAGTACGAAACATAGCACACCATGCTAATGACAATGATGAGGAGCTGACAAACTCTCAAATATTTCACACCTGCCAGAACTCTGTATATTCTTTTGAACATGTTGTAATATAACTATATTCAAACAGATTGTGGCTGTTTAGATCTGCAATAGGAAAGGAACAGACATGTAAGCAAATGAAGTAGCAGGCATGTTGACAAAAGGGCCTAAGCACACACGCACACATCCACACAGACGCATGCATGTACGAACATACACCACGCACACATGTACTCAAATGAACGAGCAGACATATCGACAAAAGGGAGCGCACGCACACATGCACTCACGCACACGTCACAAACGCGCATACACACGTCCACAGCCATTCATAGATGCACGCATTTATGCACCCACGCACTCACCTCTACGAGTTACACATGGCACATGGCTAAAGTATTGTTTAGATTGCAAACAAACGACACAAATTTATCAAATTAATTATGATAATAAATCGTTAACCGACAACTGAATTTGTAGATGCTTTGATGTTGGCCTCTCACCTCTCAGTGCAAGTTTCTTTGCAACCTCTACCAGCGCACTGTTTGCGTGAAACTGGTATGTCGGTTATTGACACTGCAACCACGAAAGCGTCGCTCTTCCGTATATGGTCATATGACGGAAAAACGACTAAATATTCATTGAAATTGATTAATTGATTAGCGTCTAGAAAGTGTACGGAAAATCATCCAGGACGGGAAAACGATGTTTTTTGCTCCGCCTTGTACAACTGTAAACGGCCAATCAGATGGCGCTGGTCCCCCGACGCACGTGATGCCCAAGGCTTTAGGTTTCGTATTTCTGGCAAGCCTTGCTAAACCAAACCATGTTACCAAGCATGGGCGGATGCAGCTTTTTTGAAAAGGTGTGTGTGTGTGTGTGTGTGTGTGTGTGTGTGTGTGTGTGTGTGTGTGTGTGTGTGTGTGTGTGTGTGTGTGTGTGCGCGCACACAATTAAGATCTATTTATTGTCTTTGGTGGTAATTTATTCAGAAATTTTTTTTTCGAAATAAAAAGGGGGGGGGGGGGGGGGGGTGCGCTATCGGATAATGGCTTGTGTTTCAGTGGTTATAAAAGTAACTAACTTGGTAATGTGAAGTTTACACGATATACGGCTTTTCCATAGAACGAGGGGTGGGTCACATGACGTTTTTCACGTGACTATTCTTGAAATGACGTGAACACTGACTACTTCCACATTCCTGGGGAAAACCCTGGGAATTCCCTAGTACGAATTCATACAGAAGCGTTAGTTGTCATCATTTAGACCCTTTAATTTTGAACGTAGCGTCTCAGCATACTCTGGGATCAGTCATAGAGTTTGATTGCATGCCCGTTCAAGGATACCCTCGCTACAACCCATCCTAGAGAAAAAAACAACAAAAACCCAAACTATCGAAGTGACAATCTACAACAATCTAAGAATTTACCTTAGTATCTATTTGACACATCTTTACAATCACCTTTCAATGATCGGCCAATTGATCAGTGATGACAAAGGCTTGAAATCGCCACATGGTAATTAACAATTTCGGAAATATCTCCCGTCACGTGTATCGTGTCGGCCGTTTAGACGTCTTGTACTTGATGTGAATGTATTACTACGCTCTGTCATTGTGATTGACTTACTGAGGTAGTTCTTAACAGACCTCATCTAATGAGGATAATTTTTGGAATAAATTTCTGGTAAACAAACTAGGAATTGGGGGAACTATTTTATTCCGGAATGGCCTATTAAAGCTAACAGTAAGTCAAGGCACCATGCATGTATATGATCTGTTGTTATATGTGTTTAACAAATACGGTTTGGGGCGTTAATAACATATACTGACGCAAATATATTCAAATCAAATCAATTGGATAATTGAATATGCTTTATTTTACATATTACATAGCATCACTACACAGAATTTGGACAGTTGCAGTAACACACTACGGTTATCGCATTAAACACCACTTTGAACAGTATTTCATTTGTTCACGGTGTAACAGACTGATGTGGGATAAAAATCCGAAGTAGTTAAGGCCATCCAACGGGTGTTCGCGAAAAGGTGAGCGTATCCTGCCACACAGGTGGCATCTGTAACAAACACATGCAAGGACAAGTCAATTGTTCACCTGAACAAAGCACGGAAACACAAAATGATGCCCGTCCTCACCATTACCGAGCATGTAAATTATATTGTCCGTCAAAAACATGGACGAGTATAAACAATATGTTCCTACAGGAAATACATGTCGTACATTTGACAAAATGTATTGACTCAGAGAATTATTGTTAATCACAGCGTATAGACTCGGCATGCAGATGAACTCATCACTCATCCCATTATTGATAATCCTTTTTGAAGAGCTATGAAATCAGAAGCTGCTACGGCGCATTTGTACACTTTATCTTTTAAATGGCATGTTAGACTTCTATTTCATAACTGTTTTATTTGCACGGATCAGTATGGAATCTTGGAAGGGACATTGTCGCGTTGTCGTATTGTCGCATTGACGCCCTTACAAAAACAAGCAAAGCGTGTCAAAATAAACCAATGCTCGACAATTGGCTATTTGTCGCGTTGTCGCATCGTCGCTCTCTGAATAACCTTTTTCTATATTTTACAAACGGGCGACAATGCCGTAACGCGACATTTTCAATGTCAAAATATGTCTCGTTGTCGCATTGTCGCCCCATCACAAATGTGTATAAAAGGCGTTAAGTTCAGAACATGTTACAGTTTGGGAGCGGTAACCAAGTTATATCTGTCGTAGAAGTTCAACCTGATACATGTACATCTTGAATTGAAAACACAAGTCCGTCCGCGAGTCCATAACGTTTTATTGTGAACTCTTCTCTACAAGTGCTTAGAGTTCAAACCCAGATCCAAACACGTTGTACCTCACCATGTCACCTGGTTGATATAGAAAAAGAGTGACTGATAAGTTGAGTGATTTATTGAGAGAAGAAACGACGAAGCTCCGCCACGATTTCGAGTCCGAGTTGGCAGATTTGGACGAGAAAATAGTAATTGTTGAACAGACAAATTTCAGAGAAATAGACTCAGTTAAGCGCGATTTGAACGACATGACGACAAAAGTCGGTGATATGGAGAGACAGTTCGCTGCAGTTGTTGCGGACAAGAAGGACAATGATATTGCATGTAGTGCTGTTATTAGAAATCTTCCCTGCTCTAAGGACGAAACAAATGACCCACTAGAGACATGTCGTATGGTCAACAAACTCATCCGCGACGGGCTGAAACTACATGATGTCAGTGGAGTACGGAGGAAAAGGAGCGACGCCAAACCGGGTGTTGTTGTGTTTTCGTTGGAATCCGCTGAACAGAGGAGCAAGCTGTTAAAGCTGAAGGGACAGTTGAAGGATAGTAGAACTCTTTTAAAGGTTTATATTGATGCCACCTTGTCACACGAAGAACTCGTTGCCCTGGCCAACATTCTGACTCTGATTCAGGAGATCGGCAAAGACAAAACACTTCGATTCCAAGGGAAGAGATTAATCGCCGGACGAAAAGCCTAGGATCATGTGCGGCTAGGACTCTGGAAGGCGGGTGGATGGACGCAGAAGGATTCCAGTAGCCGTCAATTCAAGGATTGTGTAGTCAAACATTTCGACCGTGATGTATTCGAGGTATGCGAAACCTTTCTTCAAAAAGACGAAATTTTACTTTTAGATGGGTTTACGTGGCACGGTAACAACAGGAAAAATATTCATAGGAGAGCGAAACGGGGCTCCGGCGGAGTCGGCGCATTCTTTAAGAACTCCTTTCTTCAAACTTTTGACGTGAGTATTTAAGATAATGAACATGAAGACACTATATGGTTAAAACTTAATTCCCATGCGGATTCAGATTTTAGTCTAATTTTATGTGTTTGTTATTTGCCCCCGGAAAGCTCATCTCGAGCTAATGATGCTGAACACTTCTTTGAAACCCTGCTTGAGCAGTTGTACCTTTAACAAAATGAAGGACTGGTATGTTTATGCGGTGATTTCAACTCGAGAGTGGGCGACAAGTGTGATTTCATAGAAGGTGTTGATAATGTAGCTGATAGGGAGGTAATAGATCTTAAATACAACAGATATGGCGATTAATTCATTAACTTTTTAACCGAGTGTAATCTCTGTATACTGAAAGGACGCATAGGTAAACATGGTTATACATACATTAAAAACGGATCTTCCGTGGTTGATTATGTTGTCTCAACTCATGAACGTCTTAGCTTTTTCAGAGATTTCGCCGTCACGCGGTCATCGTCGTTAGTTACAGGAGGTAACGTGCCGGATACCTGACCACTCAATACTTGCATGTACCTGGAACGTGCCCGTACCTACCTCTGTGTCTGCAGATGTACACGTACGCGCAACAGCCAACTCCGTCCATGTCTTAGACTCACAAACGATACGACGCTGGTAAGATAACCAACTCGTTTTTATCCCAAGACGATATCATTGGTAAAGTAACAGCCGTCATTCATAAAATTGAGAGAGAATTGACTGTTTCAAAAAACGTTGACGTTGAGTTAGAAAGCGTGTGTTTAACACGACAGTCAGTAAGGAGAAACCAAAATGCTAAATCTTAATACAAACCTTACTGGTGTGATGAGCTCCGGGAGAAATGGGACGATCTGTGCACGGCAGAACGTATTTGGCTGCGGGATAGGTCCACGGTTAACGGTAGGAAACTAAAAGAGATTTACGTGACGAAACGGAAATTCTTTGATAGACTTTTGAAAAAACCTTAAACGCATCTACCAACTTCGTGAACAGCAGCGGCTGCTCGGTAGATTTAAAGGCGAAGATTCTCGATCATTTTGGAAGGCTATAGCTAGGTAAGATTGGCATGGGTAACGATAGGCATTCTAGCGTCCCCTGGGAGGTGTTAAAAGATAACAAGTTGTGTACTGACAAAAATGTTGTTCTTGATAAATGGCAATCCGATTACAGTTCTTTTTTTTGTTGAGGTGGACTTGCCACAATT